CACTTCACATTATAAGTTACTGTATCGTTTAAGTGCAAATAAATTAGTTCTTGAAAATTACTAATGATGTTAACGTCGTCATGGTCGATGTAAAAGCAAAAAATTTTGATGATCACTTGTTGCCACATCAGAATTAGACGATCAACAGTAAATGTATAATGTTTTTAGAGAAGTCCAGACAATTCTGCAGCAATTTCAGGAGTTATTGTCTGTAATATTCGTTTTTCCCTTAACCTTAACTCGGTAATCTGTTTAAGAATTTCGCTAGCACCATCAGAGAGGGCATCAATTTGCGCATCAATTTTCGCTTTTTGCGCTTTTAAACCACCTATCCAAATTTTAAAATCGGCTAGCTGAAAAAAAAGTCTGTTAAAACGCATAAGTAACTTTTTTAAATCATATTATAATGTTTACTACACCAGCAAGTATCTGTAAAGTTTAGCCACTAAGATTACCTGTGCAGGTGTCAGCACTTCAACAGCAAATTTTTCCATTGCCGCAAATTTCTCAGTTTCTTCCATTGTATCATTGGTGAGAATTGAGTCGAATATTTCTTTCGTTTTTGGTGAACTTGTTCGTATAAATAACGGGATAACCGGAAGTGTTACTTCCGGAAATAGAACTGAAATAAACAGACTTTTTAAATTTTACCACATTTGACGGGGAATACTGTTAGCTGTATTCATAGATCAGTGTCAGCGTAGAACAATGGTTATCCAGATAACCTGGAGGAGGAATAGCATTGTTTGGTGGTGCACCGAATATGCGAATTTTGTCTTCAGCACTCAGTTTACCAACAATTTCAAACGTTTTTGCTTGCTCCATACCACAGTTTTTTCCCAGCTGATAATTCTTCCAAACTTCTTTGAGTTCTTCACGTTGTTTCTTCGGCATTTGATCCACAAATGGTGGCAAACCACATGGAATTTCCTAGAATAAAGTATAGATTAATTCAAAAAAATTAATAACTTCGAAAAAAGATAGACAGGTATGCTTTGTGGTAAATAAATAAGCAAAATTATGAAGGTAAATTCACCGGGTTTTGCTTATAAATCTTTTGACCAGTGGTTACTGATGTAAGCGTTGTAGTTGGAAAAGTATTATTCGACATCTTAGTTTCTTGAACATTTTTTGCCACTGTAACAGTTTTTTGTCGACTACAAACCGTACACAATGATAATATAGCAAAAATCATGACCTGATTTATCATCATTCTGTACAGTTGCTGTTGTTGATACCTTGCCTTTTTTTCCCTCAAAATTGTGGCTGAACCCTGCAAAATTTCGTCTTTGATAGCCGGTTCGTACTCATTGCTACGAGTATTTAGTGTCCCTCCAAACAACCAATACAGCAGAATTATAGTAACAAGATTTAAGATACATCTATGTACAGAAAAGGAAACTTGTATTATCTTGACTAAACCTATCAAATTGGAAAGGTTTCTAAATATCTATTGGCTTAAATTGGCTCTAACTTCTCCTACAGATTAATTTTTTTTATTCAGGATATAGTGGTAAAAGAGCGTATCTCAAATGAATAATTGTATTAATTGTTCATTTTGCAAAAATCTAACAGCAAAAATAATCAGCTTTACAAAGGATTAGCTTGTTACAATAATTTTATAAACTATATAGTTTTTTTTTTCTACTTAGAACTGACTTAACTGCAACTGACTAAGTGAAGTTTATGCATTACGAAATGCCAGATCTTTGCACCAGCTAGTAAAGTACTTTTTTAAAAGACTGCGGAAAAAAAATTCCATCAATTTTAATACAGATTCCCAAAGCAACAGTGACTACTAGCTTTAATTCTCAGTTTCCACCATCCGAAATTAACTGTAATCACAGAACATATTCAGGAAAGGAATAAAGACAAAGAAGCGCAGGTGACAGATAATCAGACAAAAGAAAACGGATTGCAACGAACGACAGACCAATGGTTCCATGTCACCAGTGAACAACAGATGACACACCATAACGGTTTAGCTTAAATAGCTGCAGATGCAAAATGAAAAAATGTAAATCAAATCAAGTTATGAATTGTTTGTTGACCTCTCGACCGAAAAGTAGTCCAGAGAGCCGCTTTATTCTCCCGAACAATGAGTGTCAATTTCGACGGATGTTCAGACCCTGGTTTTTAAATCTCCTCTCACTGCCAGCCTCATTGTTACTTTTGGTCAACCCATTAAGCCAAAAAAATTTTATAACTTTTTCACAAGGACATAAATGCCCTTAATAAAGCAATTGGAACCCATTATTAGTGCACCAGCAGAGGCAAATAGATGATGTTTTTTAAATTTATTACTGGCTACAAGTACAATGTACTTGTATAGTAAAATCGGTGTATTCACTCTTTATTAGTTCTGTTTTTAATTTCTAGAATGACTGCCAATTAGAACAAGTGCAAGCAGAATATGAGAAAAATCTAATGTAGTGACACTGTTATTTTTCTTTCAGTAAAAGTGAAAGTCAAACTACTGATAAAATAACAATTGATGTTTTAACAATACAACTTTAAATTTTGACTTAATTAGACAACGTGAACAGTTGCCTTATTACTGACATTTCGTTTATCATATAATATCTTAAAGTCCAAAAAAACAATCTTTAATTTCCCCATCCTTACGCCAACTTCTCAGCACTTTTACAATATCTGAGTCTCCAGTATTCTTGCGGCTACCCTCCTGACTTCTTGAAACATACTGAAGTTGCTGTATTCCGAGCCCCCTGTAGGCAACGTCTTTAAATGAATTAATTTACTTAGACGCCCTGTTGTATCAAAACATGTCAAAGACTCCT